TACTAATGCTGTGGCTATATCCCATAATGCTAATACTGTGGCAATATCCCATAATACTAATGCTGTGGCTATATCCCTTAATGCTAATCCTGTGGCTATATCCCATAATACTAATGCTGTGGCTATATCCCATAATACTAATACTGTGGCAATATCCCATAATACTAATGCTCTGGCTATATCCCATAATACTAATGCTGTGGCAATATCCCATAATACTAATGTTGTGGCAATATCCCATAATACTAATGCTGTGGCTATATCCCTTAATGCTAATCCTGTGGCAATATCCCATAATACTAATGCTGTGGCAATATCCCATAATACTAATGCTGTGACACCCGTGGAGATGTATTTCTTTAAAATCATGTTCAGTAAACAGTTATGAAGTAAAAGTAAAGATAAAACAATATGAAGAATAAAATTCTTCATATCTTTCACAGTTCTATGCCACCTTTAGGCCCAAATATTGGCCATTTAAGCTGATTTGTAGGGTAAAGAGACTCAAATATTATTAAGTCTTTATTATTACATTGTGATAACATCCAGCCAAATATTTTTTCTTTAGAGGCAAGTCAAATTTTCATCATTAGTCAAGTAGCTTTCTTAGTACACATATTAAATAACTACAATAAATTTCTGGTTTTAGTCATACTATTTGGGGGAATTAAAAGCAGTTTTATTTGTTTACTGAAAATAAAAAGAAATCTATTTTTACATATTTGAATATTCGAAACAATTCATTATTTTATATTGGCAATTCGATTTTTTTAAAAATAAAAGCTTTCTTTTTAATTTTTTATCTATCCTAAAAAAAGAGAAATAACAATCAAGACAATACATACAACAAGAAAAATTAAGAACTAAATGATTTTAAAAATATGGAGTGTGTTTGAAAAGCCCGTAAATGACGTGACAATGCTCCACCGAGCAAACGGAGGTGGGGTCAAGAGATAATTAAATTTAAATATCACATATTTTATTTTAAAAAGGGAATGTTTCAGTGCTTCTCAAAAAGATTTATCTAAAAATGACCAACTCCTGACAATCGTTTTAATATGCTCATTGCATCTATTCATTAAAATCAAGTCGTAACATGCCTGTTCAGTGTTCAGTGTTACTGTTCAGTGTTCAGTTACCTCCTCGACTTGCAAGATAAGCTTATTAGATTATTGCTAAACCTGGGTCATTAAACTTTTGGGGGAAGTGGGTCAGTTGGTCAGCCTTTGTAAACTTTCAAAGACGAACTCAAAGTAAAACTAAAAAACATTATTTTCTTTTTTTATATAAAACATTATTTTCTTTATTTATTTATATATATATAAATAATATATATATATATATATATATATATATATATATATATATATATATATATATATATATAAAACATTATTTTCTTTTAATCATTCATTTTTGAAAATAAACGATTAAAATATAATTAATACTTTAAAGTATATTTTATTTAGGTAATCCCCCCCCCACCAAAAAAATCGATACCTACAGTTTGATCTTTCTTCAAGCCATTATTTGTCTTCTAATTTCAAGCTAATAGATTCATTTTAATATTTCCCATAAGCAAAATACTTTGCTGTATTTCAAACCGAATTTAAATTGATTGGAATATTTTTTTCTGGTTATCAATAAAAATCGCCCATCTAGACAAATCTGTCAACATAACGCAATTCACTTTTAAAAAAAAATTTAAAAATTGAATATTCTTTTCTGAAATGATATTTGAAAAAAATTAATCGCTTTAAAGTTTAATTAATCTGAATTGAAACAAATATTATTACTTACTTTTAGTTTTTCTAATAACGCAAAAAAAAGCCTTTTTTTAACACGGAGTTGGGTTTTTTATTTTAAGAGATCATATTTTCCATTTATGAATAAATATATACTCTAAAAATAAATAAATAAATAAAAATAAATGATAATAATGGAATTCTTTTTTTTTTTTATTGATATAAAACAAAGTGAAATTGTATTTCAAAATTTATTTCCCATCATCAAAATTTACTGTAAATGTTGATCTTTTAAAACAGTCATACTGGCTTATGAATCACCAAATGCTGAAATTGTCCAGTGAAGGATTTTAAGGTACACAATAGGCTTCATTTGGTAGACATTTACAATGTAACCCGGATATAAGAGAGTTGTCGGGACCGGAGAAGTCTCTTATATCCGAGTTTCTCTTATATCCGGGTTTGGGCTATTTTATATACATTAACACAGGCTCTAATTTTGGACCAGAGAAAATCTCTCTTATATCCGGGTTTCTCTTATATCCGGGTCTCTTATTTACTCGATTTTTTTTAATGTGTTTTTCAATATTTTATTAGGGGTGTAACTGTAAAATTCATCACTTGTAATTGCAAATCCGATAGGAAAACTCCAGTTATACATAAATAAAAGACCTTTTTTAATTTTCTACATGCTATTAAAGAAATAATAATAAACAAATTATTTTTAAAAAATAATAATATTCTATCTATTGTGCGCGTCAGATGAAATCTCATGTCGAGTCGAATTTTTATCCCGTAGGCGGGGTGGGGTATACTAACTTATTATGACAATACTATCATCTGAATGGTTTTAATTTGTCGGTAGATTTCTAATTCATGCAGTTCTGGAGCAAATCTCTTCAAGGTTTTTCCCAAGTGCTCCAATAATGGGTATTACCTACTTCTCAATCCGTTGTGCTTTATGGTAAGATCCTGCGCAGCCCGTCAGTTTTCCGTATCTCTCTCCGACAGATATTTCCGCTTTATTTTCGTAAAATCGAAGTCAAGTGAGATATTTTCCTGACATCAGAAAAGACACACATTTTAAGCGCCATTTCCTTTCTAATCATTTGCGATCAATTTATGAAAAATATTTCAGATTCAAGAGGATATAGTCAATAAAAAGGGAGATAATTTGTGTCATTTTGCTAATATTAGCAGCAAACCAGATTATGTTTGACGTTGTTTGACAAGGTGGTCGGGAAATTAAAATTTTATTAACAATAGACCTATTCTTTCGTGCAAAGTTGCAATTACATAGACTAAATATAAAAGGAAATGTTTTATTTACTTGAATAGTTTAATAAATTTTATTAATAAGTTCATTTCGTTTATGCCAAAGGATAGAAAAATATTAATTATTCTTTCTTGGGAATGTTTTTTTTTTTTTTTTTTTCCTCTGATATTTAGCTTTTATTTGTACTTCTTTTCTTGCATACGATTTTACACATTAATTAACTTTTCTTTGATTATTATTATTATTATTATTATTATTATTATTATTATTATTATTCCTTTTGATTTGTGATTTAATGCAATCATTTATCGTGTAAAGGAAGTTTTTTTTTTTTTAATGGAAGTAATCGAGCTTACTGGATTGAAATGTTTTTCCAAGAGTTGTTAGTCCTCATTAAAAAACAATCTTTTTATTTAAGATAAAGATGGATTTCCTATGATTTTCTTATCGTGTGTTTCAGTATTATTATTCTTAATCATTCCAAGTGCTCCTACTACTACTGGAGCAATGGTTGTGTTTCCTGTCCTTATTTTTCGGTTCCAAAGCGGCTCGGATTGAGGAATCAGAGGGCCAAGTTGGAAATCCAGTCAAATCCATTACATTCACTTCCGTACTAATAGCCTTGGGAAAGGTATAAATCCTCTATGGGTAAATAACAGGACAGACCGGGTTCTCTAGACTTGGATGGCAACTGGTCTACTACAGAAAGAAAAAATCTACCTCGTCAGTCATGTATCGCAAGATATATGATCGACTAAGCGTGTATCACGCATGGCACATAACTGAACTGATATTTGGAAAGTTTATTAGATTCTTTTACTGAAATATATTTTATCAGGCGGCATGATAATGTTTATAAAGTTAGATATTTTCTAGTCTATAATCTTGTATATACCAATCGGTGTATCTGGTGAATTCTCAAAATAAAGTAACACAATCGCGTTCAAGAAATACTACTGGTTTTTACTCACACCATTCTTTTGGATAATATTGCCCTATTATTATAACTATTATTATTAATTTTGAATGTATTATGATGCTATTGTTGTGCAGAAGTCTTGCATGCTAGGAAAGATACTGTACTTTTCGAAGAATGATTTCTGTACTCAATAAGATAGATTTTTGCAGCAACCGCAAAGTACATTTTACATGCAGTTGATCGTCGACATATTCTTTAAACTTTTCTACGGCATTTTCCACAATCTGGCAATCGCAAGCGTTACTATTATTATCATTATTATTATTATTATTTGTGGTAGTAACTGATGTGAAATAATAATAATAATAATAATAATAATAATAATAATAATAATAATAATAATAGATAAAGTGATAGTAAGTCTTGGTTTTTTTTTCTGTCTTTATTAGCTAAATCTCATCCGTGATCTACTTCAGTTGTAAAGTTAACTTAAATTTTGCATGTATTATTATTATTATTATTATTATTATTATTATTATTATTATTATTATTTGGAATGTCCTGGTTTGTGTATGTATAGTTGGTTCACATTTTCAGCATGGCGTCTGATGCTGTTGGACACAAGCAGCAGCCTTAGACACCATGCAATTTTATTCTGGCTCTAAGTGTTCATCACTTTCGGATTATTTTTGCCGTTAGCCAAAAGGCTTCATTTTGCAACAGTTCCACTAAGCAATCAATGCCAATTTTCTATATGCAAGTATCTGTTTTGTCAATAATTGATGTATCGATTCAGGTACGTTTGGTTTGGTGCCTGAGAGAATTGGGACATTATTATCATCATTATTATTATTATTATTATTATTATTATTATTATTATTATTATTCCTTAGTTAACACATAAGTTACACTCTGTAATAGCTTACCTCTCCCCTGCCCTCAAATTTAGCAAGCTTGTCTCTTACCCCTTCGTATAGCAACAGCAGGCAGAGTAAATTTCTAACCCTTATTTAACTTCCCGTAAACCTCATCTTGCGATGTGTTGAAGTTGCATATATGTTTAAAGAAAGAAAGAAAGAATAAAGAAAGAAAGAAAGAAAGAAGCAATAACTGAATTTAACGTCTCCTTCAGTGAAGTGATATAGTAATATTTACTTTCTGTAATAAAAAAAAACAAAAATAATACAGTGAAATTTTCTCAAGTCTCTCTTTACATGATTAAAGAGGATCGGTCGGTCAGTTTAATGCTATCACGTGATACACGTATGGGCGATCATGTATCTTTCGATTTATGACTTACTAGGCGGATGATTTTTTTTCCCGCAGTTTCTTTCGACGGTAGACCGGTTACAATCAAGGCTATAAGACCCAGTCTGTCCTACTATTTCACCCATAGCTAGAGGAGAAGAGCTGGATCCATAAATGTCTCAAGGGTATTTACGGGTAAGTGAATATAACGAACCCAACTGGGAAAACCTGCTTGAAACATTAACTTGATATGCAGAACTTTATGACTGTATAGTTTATCTCCCTTTAAAATGTAAAAAAGACAATATGTCTGTTGGTGTTATTCTGTCAACCGTAGAATTTCTATGAGTTCAGTTGATTATTATTATTATTATTTAGTTTTCTCATTATAGTTATTTTAAAAATTTCGCCATCATTATCATTATTACGTGTATCTAAGTACCGTAATTCCCGCTTTCATCCATATTACGAACCCCTAAAATTGTGTGGGAAAATGCTTCTACTCATGCATAATACGCACCCCTTGTTTGGTAATCAATAATATTATTCTAATTTAGTTTTATGATAATTCTTATTTCATTTTACATTTCTAAGTATTGTTAGGTACATATGATTGTATTTGACATCCTTATAAGGTCGTAATCTCCGAATGTTAGTGTCGAATTGTCGTATGTTTCTGGTGAGTAGTCATTTTGCAATTGAAATCGACCAATGAAACGGCAATTTTTTAAAGATTTTTTTTTTTTGTAGCTGTGTATAATACGAACCCCTAATTCTGCTTAATATTTTTTTAGAGAAAAAAAAATGCGTATTATACGTGGGGAATTACGGTAACAGTTCTAGCTGGTGGATTTAACTGGATCAACTGACTGCGAATCTCCTAAATACACCGACAAGGCTGAATTACCTAACCCTGCCTGTTGTATTAGTTTAGTTTTTTTGTTGTTTTTTTTTAATTATTATTATCATTTTTCATCTTCACACAAGAGGTTTTCTTACGTTTCCTATTAATAACTTTCAGCCATCTCTTTTAAGAAGAAGAATCATCTTCTTCTTCTTCTTCTTCTTCTTCTTCTTCTTCTTCTTCTTCTTCTTCGCTGCCGTATTTCTCTCGTGTCGTATTTTCAGTCCCTCACTAGCAAAACACGTGGATCGACCATGTGATCCCGACTAACGAGAGAAACGATTTATATATATATGTCTGTGTGTGTGTGTGTGTGTGTGTGTGTGTGAAGATGGGAATGACGTAGGGGCAGACGAAGTTGGGTTATATAATCTATTTTAGCTGCACCACACCCTCTACCTTCGCATTGTATTTCTTTTTGCCGACCTCCCCCTCTTCTTAATCCATCCCCCTCCTCCCTCCTTATTCTCCCTTCCCTCTTCTTCTGGATGTTGATGATATCAAACATTCACACGGCCACAACGACTCTTCTTTGGGTCGTTTTCCTTCAATCACGGCTCTCCCTAGCCTCCTATACCTCGTGGCGTAGTAGCGTTTCTCCGTTTGCCCCCCCTTGCAGTTCCACCATCCATTATTGAGGCAAGCTCGTCTGGTAGATGGCCCACCGCCTTTTGCTACCGCTCTTGCTTTTGATATGCCTTGTGAGTGTTAAATTTCCCAAGCCCTCTTTCCGCATTATGTCCAAGGTATTTCAGCTGTCTCTTTTAGATACTGAGCATAAATGCTCTTTTATTTTATTTTATTTTTTTCTAGTTGCTTATTATTTCGTGCATGGAATTCCCAGTATCCTTCTGTAGAACCTTTTTCTCTACATCTGTGGGGTGATTGTCCAGTATTCACTGCTATTCACGAGCATTGGTATCACAGCAATTCAGCATTCTTTTCGTTGTTTCTAACGAAATTTTCCTTTTTCTTAATACTTTTTTTAGCTTTTGGAAGGCATCTTTCTCTATCCCAATGCGCCTTCGAATTTCGGTGTCGTATTTCCCATCCTCTATTAAAACATTTTCCAGATATTTTTAATCCTTTGAGTCCTGACCACCGCTTTACCGGTGGTAAAGAAAAATGACTTAATGGCCATCTACCGGTTGAACGGTGTCTAATCACTTGTAACTATTTTTATATCTACCGTGAAACATCACATAGTAATTATTTGCAAATTTTGACACAGGAGCTCAGGCAGAAGGGTTGAAATTGTTCAAGAACGCAGGACTCAATGGGTTAAAATTCTGGACCCGTTTCATGTTGACATCTCCAGTTCGTAAATCGCATTTTTATTTCGCTGGTAAACGTTTCAATAAAAAAATAAAACAGGATTTTTTGTTTCTTTCTGTCAACTTGTTTGAGTCAAAAAACAAAAACAGTTCCATCCAACGAATATCGTAATTGTCCGAAAGTTTTGAATTGGGGGTCGCTTTTAATCTTGTCCCTATTCGTTTTCAAGATCACCAGTTATCTAGGTGGGTAATTTTCCCCAGATTTAAATACTTGTAAAAGTTGTCGTGGTTATTGTAATTTCTAATATGTTTGTGAGAATATGAATAGCGTGATAGATAATTTATTGGCTAAATAATTCTCTCTCTCTCTCTCTCTCTCTCTCTCTCTCTCTCTCTCTCTCTGTGTGTGTGTGTGTGTGTGTGTATATATATATATATTATAATTTTTTATAAAATGTTAGCGATGGAAACATTTAAAAAAATAATTATTATATTAAAAATAATTATTTTAAAAATAAAATAAAAATAATAAAGAACTCTGGATTATAAATCTGACTGTTCTTCTATTATTTATATATATATATATATATATATATATATATATATATATATGTGTGTGTGTGTGTGTGTGTGTGTGTGTGTGTGTGTGTGCAAATATATAGAAAAATAAATTGAAAGAACACGTTAGATAAATAATCCGAAGTTATTTTGTTTTTATTTTCAGAAAACAGTGCTCAATACATAAGTAGAGAGCCTATATATATATATATATATATATATATATATATATATATATATATATATATATATATATATATATATATGTGTGTGTGTGTTGTTCTGAACAATAAAAAATATCAAAAAAATAAACATTTTCAGACACACTGGGTTGTATATTAATATTTTATTATTTCAGTTAGGTTCTTTGACTAGTTTCAGCCAGCATGGCCATCATCAGGAGAAAAACAATCCCTGCTTGTTAGTAGCAGTGAACTACAGGAGTGAATGACTGTTTCTGAAGAAAGTGAATTTTATATGTAGTTTTCATTTGTTTTGTTTTTTTATCGTTAATTTTGGTCAGTCCTTGTGTTGGTCAAACGGCCTCTTTTAATTTGTTTTTAAGTTAGAGGATGGGAGATTCCTGACTTTAAGAATTCCTATTTGCAAAGACTGCTCGCCCTGGATGCGTTCTTTTCCAGACATTACTTTTATTGAATGCGTTTTTAGACAAAAGCCTTGTGAATGAAATTGGATAGACGGAACCCTTGGAGGCCCGTCTATAGCTGTGCTAGCACGAAATCATAAGTCATCGTGTCCGAGGGCCTGAGCGTGCTGGCCTAGTTCAAATTGTTGATCACACTAAATAACACGCTCTTTCCCAGAAACTGTAACTAAGGTCTGCTCATCATAGTTGCAGTATAGACCACAGGTGGGTTCTCTGTAGGTGTTGAATAAACAGAAATGTGCCTGAGCAAGCGTCTGCAATAGGGATTGGCTAGCCGCCCTAGTATAACAGGTATCCTCGAATACGAGTCGCTAGCTATATACATGCATATATATATATATATATATATATATATATATATATATATATATATATTATTGTATATTTAAATTTAACAGTGATTTCGATGTGGTGTTTCCCCCTTTAGTTGTGAAATAACCTTAAACCTCTTGATTTACATTTTTAAAGTTGTGTATCCTTAAAATCTCTTCCTAACAAAAGATCGATTCAAAACAATCGATAAACATGAAATACATATATATTCACACATGCGGACTTTTATTTCGAAAGGAAAGTTCTTTCCTGACCAAGAGACTGACTGAGATCTCTAAACGTGACAGATGTTCATTTTATCATTGTAAATACTTTTCTAAAACTACAAAACTTTTTCTGAACATAACCCGTTTAATTGTCAGGACATAGCAAAATGTTGAACACGTTTGTGGTTCAGTGGTTTTATGGTCCATCAACTTTTATAGAATGGGCATGTTGTGTCAAGAAAAGTTTGCTTTAAGTGGACTCTTTTAGCACAAGTTGTTTATATCTTATCCTCCGATAATATTTATCGCTTGCTAAACCCTGAGAATCTTGAGAAAACAGATGAACTGAAATAAGAGGTACAAAAATGGTGGGACAACGGAATAGAGCAAGAGTTTAAAATAAGGCTTTCTTGGCAGAGGTAGGTTGGAAATTTGCCAACGACAATTTCCCAGTTAACGTCTTCAAGTTACTTAACGAGAAAGCGTTTAACAGTAAATTATTCTGAAGATGGATGAATAGACTCTGTCCATTTAATAATCTATGTAGGGTTGCTGAAAAATGTCGGCTCGACCATGGTCACCCATAACAAAAATCCTATGTTTGGTCAGTTGATAAGGTTTGGGGGTGTGAGAATTTTTCAGCAACCCTCTGTACGTGAAAGTGAGTGAAACACTGGAGGAAAAAGGATAGAAAAAGAGAGGCAAAAGGTGAAAAGAAAGAGAGAGGAAAAGAAAAGACAGGACAATAAAAAAAAAAAAGACATGAGAAAAAGGAGAGAGAAAGGAGAGAGAAAGTGTTAGGAGAAGAAAAAAGAAAAAAACACTTGAAGGGAAAGAGAGCGACAGTGAGATAAGATGGAAATAAATGTGAAGAGGAAGAGAGGAGGAGACAAGAGAAAAAGAGGTGTGGAGGGGAGAAAAGAGAGGGAAAGACAGAGGAGAGGAAGGGTGAGTAGACAAGAGATAGAGTGAAAAGAGAAAAAGAGAGAGAAGACGAGAAAAGAGGTGGATATCTCAGAGGAGAGATAAGAAAAAAATGTGAAAAGAATCCTTTAGAAAATTGAGAGAAGAACACACGACTTGAAGAGAAAGAGAGTGACTGTGAGAAAAGAAGATAGGAGACAATGTGAAGAGAGAGGAGCGTAAGAAGAAGGCAAGAGAAAAGGAATTATAGAAAGAGAGGGTGGGGAAGAAAAGAGAAAAGACATGGAGAAAAATTCAGAGGAGAGGAAGAACAAGAAGAAAAAAAAGGAAAGAGAGAAAACGAGAAAGAAGACGAGAAAAGAGATGTAAAGAAAGAGAAAGAAGAGGAAGAAGGAGAAAAGTGAAAGAAAGAGGAGAGAGAAAGAGAAAGTAAGAGTAAATGACTGAGGAATTATATCGAATTACATCAAATTCAGTTAATATAAAATATTTTTATTTCAAAGAAGGTGACAACAATAAGCCTATCGCTAGTTTCATTGTACAGAAAACTGGAACAAAAATATAATACACGTGGACATAGATATCTGTATAGAGTATGATAAATAGATATGAATAAAACGAATTACCAATACTCAATTGGTGACCCGTAAAAAAATTTTCAAATAAAATCATGCTGATACGTTTTATTTCAATTCATATATATATATATATATATATATATATATATATATATATATATATATATATATATATATAGTTGGATTGATGAATTGAGTTTGTGAACCTGGGTTTCACGCTATTCGCGATCGTCTTGTCTGACGATCGCAAATAGAAAACCATCTTTTCTCTCAACTAAATATGTTAGCTGTATCACTGATATTGAGCGCTTTTCAATAAGTACTGTGCATATATAATATATAAATAATATATAAAAAAATATATATATATATATATATATATATATATATATATATTTACATATATAGTTATATTTATATACAACATTTATGTCTTAAAATAATTGTCGGTCATTTGTTTACATTTGGATACGCATTGAGCAGATATGAATGTACGCGAGAGATTCATGGAAGATTGAAGTTTAAAGGCAGTAAAATCGACCTTGCTAATCGAACGATCCTCTGTGGCTCGATTGGTTAAGAGCACGTCAGGCTAAATGACGGTTCCGTATAGGATACAGGTTCGATTCCTGTCGGGGGACGAATATTTTCTATGAGAATTTCTCGGACATTCAGGCCGGTAAATGCCGTTTAATACAGTTTATTATAAAATAGAGCATTTACTTAAATATTTTTATCTATAAAAAAATGTATAAACATAAAAATGTCTTAAATAATTGTCGGACTTTGTCCATTTCATTAATATATATATATATAAGTTACCTATAGTGCCGCATTAGAAATTAGTCGGAGTCACAATTAATACAGAAAATAAACTTACAATAATTGTGGTAACATTTAAAAGTATAATCTCTTAAAACTTTTACGAGTTTTTCTTAATATTTGCCTATATCTCTGAGATGAGGTATTATGAGTACTTGTATTATTTACATTATTCGGACTGTTATCCTCATCTTCATTGCCATATTCACAACGTTTCGGCCGTTGTACGCTCCGGCCTTTATGTCTATGTCTCTTTATATATCTGTCTATATCTCTGAGATGAGGTATTATGATTACTTTCATTATTTACATTATTCGGATTGTTATACTCATCTTCATTGCCATATTCATAACGTTTCGGCCGTTGTACGCTCCGGGCTTCTTCAGGTGATTTGGATTTTGAACCTTTATTTCGTCCACCGGGGTAGATTGTTCTAGTTTCACGTGCCACGCCTCTTCCAGATATTTCAGTTATTTCCCTTTAACTCAACTCTCCAAATTTTGGTTCACCACTGCTGTGGCCTGGTATTGAACTCACAACTCTTTGGGTTAATTCACTGGATCCAACCAGTATGCCGGAGCGTACAACGGCCGAAACGTGAACCATCGTCTTTATCTACTGGGCTGTGTTCTCAAGGACACATAGCCCAGTGGATAAAGATGTTGGTTAGATCCAAAGATCAGACGCAAGAGTTGTGAGTTCAATACCAGGCCACAGCAGTGGTGAACCAAAAATTTGAAGAGTTGAATTAAAAGGAAATAAATGAGACATCCGGAAGAGGCATGGCACGTGGAACTAGAACAATCTACCCCCCGGTGGACGAAACAAAGGGTTCGGTTCAAAATTCTAACGGCCGAAACGTTGTGAATATGGCAATGAAGATGAGAATAATAGTCTGAATAATGTAAATAATGCATGAGATTTTCTCTGTGAATCTTCTTGCTCAAATTGTTTCTTTACCATCTTACGATATGAAATGTTCCTGGAAATGGGCATATGTCTGAGATAAAGAAAGTTCATCAATTTTAGTAAATATCCTTAATCAAAATTTACAGAATGAAATACAAACAGACTGACTTGGAGTGGCTGGCATGTGGTTTCAGTTGTAAGTATGACTTTTGATCGCTACCGATTCGCTTCCGTCTTTGTATAAAGGAAATCGCTTGGCGTAGATTCGTGTAAACGAGCTGGTATTTTTTTAGTTGACTGACTATGACCTGTTGCAAAATTTTGTATATATCTGGATAAAATGATTTATCGGCTGATCTGTTTTTTACTGCTTATCAACCCTTTGGCAGTTATTTAAAGTCAAAGCACATTTTGGACTGTAAGAATATTTATTATTATCCTGCCAGGGATACAAGCACAAAGGATTTGGGGGGGTTATAATTAGCTCAAACCAAAAATGACTGATGGGAAATTGTATCTTTATACCGCATGACCTCTTTCCGACTTTGTCCACACGTTTACATTTATTACATTATACTAAAACCTATACACGCTAGATATTAAAATTATTAAACTTTGATTATTCCTATATTAGTTCTCACCCAAAATGCAAATTGATTCCTCTATAATATCAAATAGTAAAAAAAAATACCCCTAAAATAATCAGCGCATAAGCTAGGCTATGAGGATCTCCTTAGTAGGCCTAGCATATAAACAAATGCAATATGGGAGCCGTTAGTAAAGAAAGAGTAGAGATAGGCAGTAGCAGTAGAAAAGGGAAACCTCTGTGAATGCTGTCACGCGTGACTATCAACAGCTTCATCAGCAGATCGATTAGGCTAAACTCGAAATTGTCCACAGGGAGTACAGACTAGAACTCATTGGAAACGAGGTGAACAATAATTGAGCAATACTAAATAAGAAGAAAACGAGTTATCTCCCCTAGGTCAGTGGAACAAGAATGATCTACCCCTGTACATTAAATAAAGGATTAAGTTCGAAATTCACTGAAGATTACACTAACTGACAGGCAACATGATGAAAACTGAGTGTGAACAACGACTGAAACATCGTGATAATAACAACAAAGATAAGGACAATAACGCCTATGTAAATACTGGCCAATATATTTACCTAACTTTATAAATTAGGAAAATTTAGAAACAAAGAAAAGAGTAGTGAACTCTTATGTAATACCGTTCTTCCTATATGGCAGTAATTGATCGACATTCTCCTCAGAGATGAAGAAGAGTCTTGAGGCAATTTGGTTCTACAGAAAGATGCTGAGAATACCATGGACAAAACATGTGTGAAAGAGACAGTTGAAATTTATAGGGCACATAATGAGGAAAGAGAGCTTAGAAAATTTAATACTCACAGGACAGGTTGAGGGCAAGAGGCACAGAGGAAGACAGCACATAAGCTACCTAGCGAACTTGAGTAAATGGATGACGGAACGAGGTTTAGGAGAGATAACAAAAAGACAAAATTTATTAAGAGCTACAGTGGACAGAAAGTCGTGGAGAGCAGTGATCAGCTACAACCTGAAGCGACACAGCATATAGAAGAATACCAATGCGAGATAAGGAGTGCTAGCAAAAATAGATTTACTCAAAGATTTCGATATAAAAGGATTTATGATAATATAATATCTTCGGATTGTTACACGACACTGAAAAGCCGTAAAAGATTTGATTATTTCATCAATGGACTGTGACTTGCCAATTTATAGCAAATCATAGACATTAACTAGTATCGCAAAATACTGTCATGATATACAATCAGTTGCTTGCTATATTCTGTCTTTAATACGTGATTTTCTGGAAGCATATTTAGCAAGTATTGACAGTTAGGAGGTACGGTGGTGTTATGGATAGCGGCTTGGATTGAGGAATCAGAGAGCCGAGTTCGAATTCCAGTCGAATCCATTATATTCACTTACGTGCTAATACACTTGCGGAAGGTACGAATCCTCTTCTTCTCCCCCCAGCTATGGGGAAATAGCAGGACAGACTGGTTTCTATAGACTTGAATGGCAACTGGTCTACCGAAAAAAAAAATGGCAACCTACTGTAGGAAAAAAATCTGCTTCGTGTAAGGCACTGATTGACAGTTGTCGTTGCTGGTAATCTGATTGTCATGGGTTTAAACTATGAAAAGTGACGCACATTGGATTAGGGTACGTTTGAAAAACCTCGTGGCAATTTCTAATTGGCGAAAGGGAAATATTTCTAAATAGGTTGGAAGAAATTCTCTGTCGAAATTAGAATATTTCGTCTGACTTTGTGTCAACTGTTTGGAAAAGAAACAAATAGGTCTGGGTGTCACTTGGTGAAATGCTACATCAACAACCTACCAATGTCTGTTAGTGACCAATAGATGGAGACTTTAGATTGGGGTTCTGCTTAAGCAGTCGACATTGGAAAGCTGTTGTCCTTATTAAAGGAGCCTTTGTCAACATTAGCTTAATCGAAAAAAAAACAAAAACAGAGACGTAGTTAAATTTTGGTAAAATAGAGACGTAGTTAAATTTTGGTAAAATTATAAGTTAACAAAAAAAACTCACTGTATCCAAATATTTATATACATTTTTGGAATCCTTTGGGTTTGAAAAAGATATCACTGCGTAAACATTTTTACCAGTACATCTGCACTAATAAAAGAAACCTAAAATGACCGTATGTACTCGTGTATAAGTCGTCTTCATGCAGAGTGCAACCCCTAATTTTTTTACATGAATTTTAATCCGTCTAAATCCCTGAGATAAGGCATTATGATTACATACATTATTTACATTATTCGGACTGTTGTCCTCATCTTCAGTGCTATATTCACAACGTTTCGGCCTCTATATCTCTGGGATGAGGTGATTACTTTCATTATTTACATTATTCGGACTGTTGTTTCGGCCGTCGTACACATACTAATGGATCGGTACGGACCCGATATACCAAGGTTAAGGCAGTGGAGAACTTTCAGAGGGGAATTAACAGGAGATAACTGACATCCATTAGACGTGGCACGTGGAACTAGAACAATCTACCCCAGCGAACAAAATAAAGGGTTCAGTTCGACAATCCAACCACCCGAAGAAGGTCGGAGCGTACAACGGCCGAAACGTTGTGATAAACATGGCAACAAAGATGAGGACAATAGTCCGAATAATGTAAATAGTGTAAAATTATTCAAATAAAATATTACAGAAAGATTTATCCAACTGTAACTAAATCAATAAATTTAATTGTTAATTTTAGTTTTCGTTCATTTGTAAGTGAAAGAACAAGAAATATCCCAGTATTTTGTCATCTGAGAAACTAGAGAAA